ATTCCAGACAGGGCTCCAGGGTCCACTCAGCCTTCCATCCTTCCGTAGTTTGCTAAAATGAGTACCCAGCTTTTTGCTGGCAATTAACTTACGCATTATAAACCACTCAGCGAGTGTTAGTTCACTGATGAGCAGTAGAGAAATGTACTTGCTATTGCTATTGCTGTGACGGGACATGGGCTTAATGTTTGTGTCCCGAGGTCCGGAGCTATCCATGCGATTTAAACGATCTCCTTGTTTCTCATAATCTCCAACAAGCTTTTTGTTGCCTCTGGTGTTTGGAGCAAAGACTCATCCAGCGCTTGAGCCTTGCCGATCTGTCACTCTGGGTGAGCCTGGTTCTCCCGTGTTGTTGCTGTGCATGTGTTGTTGTTTTTTCTGGGTGAGTCACACCATTAGCTCCTGGGCATTGGTGCTTGAAATCTGATAGAGATGGAGGCTTGTTTGGTAACCTAATGCGATGAGCGGCAGGTTAAAGGAGCTAAGAAGCCCAGAAATTTTGCAAAAATACAGCTCTAGCCGCCGGCTTCCTCCAGCCGATCCAACAGCCTGGAGCATTGGGAGCAGAACCCAGGGTGAAACTTTGGGGAATAGTTGACCAAATGCATGCATGCAGTGGCAAGACCTTGATATGCATAGAAAGTGGAGGAATAATGTACTACCTACGAAAGGATGGTTGCTCAAAATGAATGACTTTGCAGGGATGGATAAAATGTCCATTTTGATTTAGAGAAAAATTCTTGGTAACTTTCTTAGAATATTGGAAACCTGCTAGACCTTTTGAGAGAGAATGAGGGCGGCAAGGCGGCTATTGGTTTTGGTGATTTGCATGAGATAAATTTTTTGATGATGTGCAACATTTTAAGTTAAAAGGAGGAAGGTGGAATCTTTGGAATTATATAACTGCAGAAGAAAGAGTCGGGGTTCATATTCTTTCTTTCTTTCTTTCTTTCTTTCTTTCTTTCTGGTAAATACCCTAAAGGCCCCAGGCCCCATCTGCTATTTGAATCTAAGCAGGGTCAGCCCTGGTTAGTCCTTGGATGAGAGGACACCAACAAATACCAGGTGCTGTAGGCTATATTTTAGACGAAGGAACTGGCAAAACCACTTCTGACGATTCCTTGCCTAAGAAAACCCTTTGAAAAATTCATGGGGTCACCATAAATTGATAGGTGATTTAAAAGCACACACACACACACTGTTGTAGTATAATCTGCATTGTCTTCTATGTCTGTTGTTTTTTCTTTATTTTGTCTTTTGACTTTGTTGTTGTTGTGTGTGCCTTCATGTCATTTCCAACTCAAGCCGACCCTAAGGCAACCCTATCATGGGATTTTCTTGGCAAGTTATGTTCAGAGGAGGTTTGCCATTGCCTCCCCCTGAGGCTGAGAGAGTGTGATTTGCCCAGGGTCACCCAGTGGGTTTAAGTACTCGAGCCAGGATTCGAGCCCTGGTCTCCAGAGTCATAGTCAAGACTCAAACCACTTTGCTATGCTGGCTCTCCATATTTTGACTTAATGCAGTTTAATGTGCATGTTTTGTTTGATGCACTTAATTTTTACTGCATGTAGAATTTTAATAAAATGATCAGATGACCAGATACCTCAAAGAAGTATTTGTGGTAGACAACTTTATGGCTAGCCTTTGAGGAATGGAGGGAGGGTTTTTTTTTTGTAGGAAAGGCCCTAATGACATCAGATCCCATTTGATCTTGGAAGCTAAGCAGGGCTGGCTCTTGTTAGTACTTGGATGGGAGACTGCCAATGAATCCCAGGTGCTGTAAGCTCTATTTCAGAGGAAGGAAGTGGCAAAACCACATCTCCCAACTCTATAATTCAGTGGTAAAATTTGAATGCCATCTTCAGAGCATAAAAGAGAAAAGCCTGCAGAAATGTATTGGAATAGTGTTAGAATCATTTTGGTGGCTTATGCTGGTGTAAGTGGTGGTGTAAATTCCAGCAAACTCCTTTTTCAGATGTTAGCATGGCAAAGTGGTTTGAGCTTTGAATTAGGACTCCGGAGACCAGGGTTTGATTCCCAGCTCAGCCATGAAACCCACTGGGTGAATTTGGGCAAGTCACTCTCTCTCAGCCTCAGGGGAAGGCAATGTTAAACCTCCTCTGAACAAATCTTGCCAAGAAAACCCCATGATAAGTTCTCCTTAGGGTCGTCATAGGGTAGAAAGGACTTGAAGGCACACAACAACACCAACAACACACAGGGTTATCTAGTACCACTTTGTGCAATGGCTTTTCCATAGGCTATGCAGCTCTCCTTATCCTTCCCAAATAGCCAGTGAAGGATGCACCAGGACTCTGTATGTGTGTGTTGTGTGCCTTCAAGTCATTTCCGACTTACAGCAACCCTAAGGCAACCCTATCATGGGGTTTTCTTGGCAAGATTTGTTCAGAGGAGGTTCTCCATTGCCTTCCCTTGAGGCTGAGAGCATGTGACTTGCCCAAGGTCACCCAGTGAGTTTCATGGCTGAGCTGGGAATTGAACCCTGGACTCCAGAGTCGTAGTCCAACACTCAAAACACGATGCCACACTACTCCCTGATAATGGTGTATGGTTGGCAACTGTTGTCTTTCCAGATCTCCCACATAAATACTCCTGGTAGAATTTCATGCTGCACCAGCATTTAGTAGCATCTCAACCAAAGTCACCGATAAGTAATAGTGGAGATCAGAGGAGGCTGATGGTTATATTGTTTGGGGTTGATGCCTATATAATAATAATAATAATAATAATAATAATAATAATAATGTATTTGTACCCCACCTTTTGCTGTAGCAATCAAGGCAGCTTACAGCTAAAACATTTTAGGTTTTATAGCCAGTTTTAAGGGAGCTATCCAGGTGCTGAACCTTATTCCCAACAGAGGGTCAGCACCTGGACAGCTCCCATTAAACCTTAAATCAAGATTTATTGAATCAATCCACCTCTAATGACCTGTTGTTGTTGTTGTTGTTGTTGTTATTGTGGTGTGCCTTGAAGTCATTTCTGATTCATGATGACCCTACGGAGGAACCTATAATGGAATTTTCTTGGCAAGATTTGTTCAGAAGAGGTTTGCCGTTGCTTCTCCTGAAGCTGAAAGCAGGTGACCTGATAGCCATGTTTAAATATTGGAAGGTATGTCATACTGAGAATAGAGCAAGCTTGTTTTCTGCTGCTCCAGAGATCGGGTCACGAAGCAATGGGTTCAAGCTACAGGAAAAGAGATTCTGCCGAAACCTTAGGAAGGTCTTCCTGATGGAAAGAGCTGTTTGACTGTGGAAGATGCTCCCCTGGAGAGTGTGGAGTCTCCTAATTTGGAGGTCTTTAAACAGAGGCTGGATGGCCATCTGTTAGGGGTGCTTTGATTGTGAGTTCCTGCATGACAGAATGGGGTTGGACTGGATGTCCCTTGGAGGCCTCTTCCAAGTCTCGGATTCTATGATTCTATGAGGATCTACTATACTTCAAGCATGACGGCAAACTCAGCATGAGGCTTCCTTGTTACGTCATCTATACATATGTTCAATATTTGTTCTAAGGCATAGCTGGGTCAAGTGCTTATGTTATTTTATTTTATTATTTTATTGGGATGCATGTGTGTCCCCTGAAGCCTCCAAAAAACCCGAAGCAACCAATAGCGGTTCAGCACCTGGACAGTTCCTATAAAACCTTGAATCAAGGTTTATTGAATCAATCCATCTCTAATGACTTGTTATTCATGGTTAAATATCTGAAGGGATGTCATACTGAGAATGGATGCTTTAATGGTGTCTTTCTGCATGGCAGGGGGTTGGACTGGATGACCCTTAGGGGTCTCTTCCAACTCTGTGATTCTAATGTGATGCCCCCTTTTTTCTTCCTACCTTCCACTCTCCCCAGAATTATTCTTTTCCAATGATTCATACAGCCAGGCATCCATACCCACAGATTCTGCGTCCACAGATTCAACCATCCATGGCTTGAAAATATATTTTTTTAAATATTCAAAATGCAAACCTTGATTTTACCATTTTATATAAGGGACGCCATTTTCCTACTCCATTGTATATAATGGGACTTGAGTATCCATGGATTATGATATCTACCTGGGCTCCTGGAACCAAACTCCATCGGAAACCAAGGAACCACTATATTTTCTCATGATGTGTCCAAAATACAAATCATGTTGGCTTGATTTGCTCTCGGCCTATTCATTTTATCAGATGGAAAATGAAAAGTTCCTGGGAGAAAGAAAGATGGGGGACAGAAATAGCCACTGTGTCTGGGTGATTAGGGTAGTTTGATGGGAAGAGAAGACTATTAAAAGCTGTCTAAATGTGAAAAATAGGGGATAATGCAGCAAGGGAACAAGGCATTACTTCATTAATAAAGTGAACATAGTTGAAGCGAAGGGAACTAATGGTTTGCATCTTATGGAGGGAAATAATTGCTGGAAAGACAGAACAGATCTAGTACAGCGGGAAATGGGATGCATGGAAGAGCCCATTATGGGCTGCGCAGTCGATAGTTTTGTTGCTATTAATTTTCAAAGGGCTTTGAAAAGAAGGGCTGTCCAATATATTAATGGCCGGCAGGTTGGTCTGAATTAATGATATCAAAGGGGAGAGGAAAGGCAGCAAAGGAAAATTGTGGAAAGTTCATAGGAAAAGGAAGGTCATGGGCAGAAAACTAAATGAGATGTTCTGTCAGGTGCCAGGATGTATTATTATTATTATTATTATTATTATTATTATTATTATTATTATTAGGCTATGGAGACAAAGGTTTGAATCTCAGTTTGGCCATGGAAACCCATTGGGTGAGCTTGGGCAAGTCACACTCTCTCAGCCTCAAAGGATGACAAAGGCAAACCCTCTCTGAAGAAACATGTTACGAAACGTCAGTCTTGGGGCCATAATAGGTCAGTCTTAGGGTCGCCATAAGTTGGAAACAACTTGAAGGCACAAAACAACAACAAGAATCATCATCATCATCATCATCATCATCATCAATCATCAGTCATTGTCCTGCTTTTCCCCCAGTTTGGCTCAAGGTGGCTGATATTATTTGTTTGTTTGTTTGTTTGTTTGTTTCATATGCAGCTATAGGGACCCAAAGTGGCTCACAAATAAAATTGGTCAAAAAACCTTGCAATATAAATGTAAAAAACAATTAGAAATCATCTCATCAAAACAGTATAAAAATGACATTGCACATACCAAAGTTAAAAAGCATTTATAAAGAGACATAAATAAACTCATTTGCAACAGTTAAAAGCGAGACACGGGTTGACCACCGACCAAATGCAAAAGTTAAAAGTATCATCAACATTAAAACCTGTTAAAAGACACAGCTATTAAAAATGACAAATAGACAAAACACGGATAGACAGCATAGCACATTTCAGCAAGACCTTCTTCCTTTGACTGGTCAGTCTTTAAAGACCTGTCAAAATCATCATCATCATCATCATCATCATCTTTCCCTTCCTGCAGAAAAATAGCAAGGGAGGATGGCAGTATGAGCATTCAGAAAGGAGTTTCAAAGCCTGAAACCAGCCACCAAGAAGACCCTCTCCCATGTCCCCACTACATGTCCCTTTGGTGATGGGGACAGAGATAAGGATTGATACCTCCAAAGGTGGGAGTTCTTGAGCCCTGGTGCAAATAAGCCACAACACACACCGAAGGGAGGAGAATCCACAGTTTTAGTTGCTGCAGCAAATAGGTGTCCATGGTCTAGCAACTGAAAAGACTGACAACACAAAGGGAAAAAAGAGATGTCCAAGGATATACATTGGGCCTTCATTGCTATCCAATGAGGCTTGGTTCCAGGACCCCCCATGAATACCAAAATCCATGGAGTGGAATCAGAAGGTGGTGGACTCTTCTTCTTTGGAGGCTTTTAAACAGACGTTGGATGGTCACCTATTGGAAGTTCTTCAGTGTTGTGCATGACAGGGATTGAACTAGATCAGTGGTTCCCAAACTTTGGCCCACTGGGTGTTTTGGACCTCAACTTCCGGAAACCCCAGGCATATTGACCAAGAGTCAGGGATTCTGGGAGATGAAGTCCAAAACATTTGACAGACCAAAGTTTGGGAACCACTGGGTTAGATGGTCTTTGTGGTGCCTTCTGACTGTATGATTCTCCACCAGATCTCAAAACATAGGCAGGTCCATAAGGGAGAATATGGCCCTCCAAATAGTTTTTTTGTGGGTTTTTCGGGGTGTGTGGCCATGTTCTAGAAGAGTTTCTTTCTGACGTTTCACCAGCATCTGTGGCTGACATCTTCAGAGAATGCTGGAATGGAAGAGAGTGGGTATATATATACTGTGAGACCTTGGGTAGGGAGGAGTGGTTCCCATGTCAACTAGGTATTGGGGTAGCAATGGGAAGCCCTCTGAGCCCGGTGATAGCACACTTTTACATGGAACACTTTGAAAAACAAACCCTGGAAACAGCAGCGAAAAAGCCCACAACTTGGTTCCGATATGTGGATGACACTTTCACCATTTGGAGCCATGGAGAAGAAGATCTGGTTGGGTTCCTGAATCACCTGAACAACATCCACCCTAACATCCAATTCACTATGGAAAAAGAAAAGGAAGGAACACTGCCATTCCTGGATGTCTTAGTCATTCGCAAACCAAAGCAACGTCTGGGACACACAGTATACAGAAAACCCACACATACAGACAGA